TGTGTGTCTCTGTGTGTGTCTCTGTGTGTCTCTGTGTGTGGTTGTGGTGTAAGGCGACAGACAACTTTTACTTTACTGTCAGTGGCCACATGTAACAATTTGTTCTTCCTCTCTCCACAGGAAGTGGTGACCTTGCCTAATTGACACACTGCTGCTTCTGCCCACCCCCCATCTCTGCCCCCCCCCACCCCCTGTCGGGATTGGGTGTCCGTGCTGCCGGCAGTGGATTGGAGCACTCTGATTGGAGGTTTTGCGAGGTGGTTTTTCGGTCTGGCGCCGCCTCCCCCCGGGGCCGGCGTGCGCTCCCAGCAGCCCGTGGTGCCCTGTGCCCCCCCTTCCCCGTCACTACACAACAGAGCCCATGCCCAGGGTAAGGCCAGAACCCTCCTGATGTATGACACTGGTGAACATCTGCAGTTTGTCAGCTTAAGGTCAAAGAATTACATCCACTTTTAAATTGGGGGGTTTTCAGTGTTTCCCTTGTCAGCACCAAAACAAAAAGGAGTTGTGAAGATATAGCTACTACAACACTTGAGAGGAACATTATTTCCTTTGGCAATTTGAACCAAATAAATAAATTAGGGGGATAAATCCCAGTACATTGACACTAACACCAAACATTTTAAATGACACCCAGTCTGAGCCCTGAGCAGAACTCTGCACCTCCTTGTTAAATCCTTCCTCTTCTCTGCAGGAGGAGGCGCAGTGCGTCCACCAGGAGCCATGTGCCTCCCTCACACCAACAACATGGACAACAAGCTACAGGGTGCGGGACAGGGGGGAGGGGCTTCACTTCGACTACGAGCAGGTGGCGTTCCACTGGAGCCCTTCATACACCAGGTGAGAGAATTTTGTGTGTTTAAGAAAAAGTTGTAATAAAGAGAGAGCTCCATGTTGACGTCATCATCATTTTCACTTTTGTGTGTGTGCAGGTGGGGGGTCACACCAGTATGATGCGTTATGATGACCACACAGTGTGTAAACCTCTGATCAGCAGAGAGCAGCGATTCTACGAGTCTTTGCCTCCAGAGATGAAGGAGTTCACTCCTGAGTATAAAGGTCAGCACAAACCTTGTTGTTGTTTACTATCACATCGCTTCTAACGCGTGACAGACACAAAATTAAAAAAACTAACATCTCACAGTGTCAACAACTGTCTTGTTGTAGCCAAGTCTCCACAGCCACAACACAAGTTTACAGATGAGTTCACTGTAAAACAGCCAGCAGTCTCACACATGGATTCTGGTTTACGTCTGCTTCAGTTATGTCTTTAGAAGACACAGACTAATTCAAAGAGTCATGGATATAAAATTATCCCATCTTTATTTGATTTTGTTTTTATTTCAAATATCAATCATTGTTGGATCTATTTGAATAGAAGTGACTCATGTACAGGCTCTCACTGCTGGACCTAATCATTTGGACAGAAATGTTAAAAAAATACTAACCACACTAGTCGTGTGTAAGAGTCCCTCAGCTTTTCTCCAATGCACTCACTTCGTCGAGGTTTGCAAAGATGCCACTTCTCTATTGTGATGACATTTGAATCAGACATTTTGTGATGTAATAGTTGATTCACATTTTTAGCTTCGCCTTAGGTTTTGATCTCATGTTGCTTTCAGGGGACCTCAGTCCTCCTCCGGCTGCCCTGCTATTCAAACAAGTCTCTAAATACCAGACAGACAGAAGAGAGGGAAGGAAGTACGGATGTTTAATGGAATTAAAGTGGTAGAGCTGTTCTGCTCTTCATCACCAGGCACATACTGTAGCTGGTTCTACTTACTTTTGTTGTAGTAACAGACCCAAACACACTTTGATAGTCAGTGTATACACACACAGCTCCTCCATTTATGCAACCTATTTAAAGTTTGGGCAAATTGTGTATGAGAGGAGATAATGACAAAGATAAAAAGAGACTTAAATGGTGGACAGGGCAGATGTAACTAAACACATTAGTGATGGCTCTGGTCCAGTGCATTGTGTCCTGACGCTCAGCCAGCTAACTAAACATATTGTGAGCATGATGACATTAGAATTTAACTCAATGCCTAAGTGCAGCCTCACAGAGCTTTTGCCATGACTGTACACGCTGACACTTTCCACAAATTATGATGGACATTCTTACTATTATTGATTAAATGATTGTTGATTTACAAAGGCAAGGTTCACACCTGACATTTAAGTTAGAGTTGTTGAGCAAGAGCAGGCTACACATTGAAAATACAACGATGCATCCCACCCCCTCCTATCCGCCCTCTCGTCAAGGCTGCACCCTTAAGAACGTGCACTGTCGGACAACAGCTAGTGACTCACCTGCTAACTTTTGACTCCTGTCTCTGCTTCACCGGTATATGTCTCTCCGGCTGAAGACTGTGGTCGTGCACAGTGAGAGCACAGGCAGGTTGGTTATTGACAGACCTGAGCTTAGAGCTGACCACCTGTGATCACTTTTCTTAGGTTGGTGTTAATACCAGGGCTGAACCACACATTTATCTATGCTGCCTGGCACATTATGACTTAAAACTACTTCCCATCTTACAAAGTCAGTGAGCTACATGAGACCTGGTGGATATATTCCCACTGCAATGATCCGTTTTGTCTCCAGTCAAACCTGCTGGTGCTGTTGGTCCTAGTGCCCTGACACCACAAGAATATAAGGAGTCTATGTTTAACCCTGGATCTTTGCCATACTACCATTGTCCCACTGGTTTAATAACAAGAGACAGACAAACAGCTGCCTGACCACGACTTTCTAAACCCGACAAGGTTGTTTCAGCCAGAAACATTTTGACTGTTTGATATGTGACTCCTCAGTTGACCTGACAGATCTGCTGGGATTATACACTAACAGAAAGTAGATACTGTAGAACCATGGCGAGCCAGTAAGTGGATCTTAAATTGAATTCTGAAAGATAACCATTACACAGTGGAGGATTCAAGAGACGCAACTAATGCGCTCTGATTATTATCCTGGTTATAACACACGCAGCTGAATTGTGATGAGTTGCAGTCTGTGACTTGTCCGAGCAGGGAGTCTGGATCTTCAGTGCTACATGAGCCAAAGTTTCATGAATTTAATGTTTATCTAAAAGAGGCCTGATCTGATACGAAAGGGACCAGGGGTGTGTCAGACTTGGACTCGTTAGATCTGAGGATAATTGGACTTCATTCAAAAATGATCATCAGTCTGATAAAGATAGAGAAAAGAAAGTCTGGCAGCAGCTTTGCCTTCACTTTTGGCGAGCAGTCACGACGACCATCTTTATATTCAGACTATGTTTCAGATATTAACAAACTTCACTCCAAAAAACACACTTTGCTCCTGTTGTGATGATTCACTGTGTGACCTGAGTCCTGAGTATCTATGTTACTTCTGCCTCAAAACTTTATTTCTGCTATATTTTCATAGGGTCAAACATTATGCAAGCTGTTTCAGCGTATGTAGTAGATGGATTACATTTCTCTCTCTCTCTTTGGCAGTTAAATAGACATGTCTGTTATTTTCTGTCTGTATTTTTGTCCGTCCTGGCAGGCATAGTGCTGGTTTGTTTTGAAGGTGATTCTGACGGCTACATCAACCTGGTGGCCTACCCTTACGTGGAGAGCAACATGGAGGGAGGGGCTGGTGATCACGAGGAGCGTGAACCTCCTGAGAGGGAGCAGCCGAGGAGGAAACACTCCCGTCGCAGCCTCCACCGCTCCTCCTCCTCTTCTGAACACAAGGATGAGCGGCCTGACAAGAGGGAGTCACACGAAACCGACACCTCTGAAAAGTAAGGTCATATTAAATAAAGAGATTTCATGAAAACAAACTGAAGGACTCAAGAAATATCCTTAAAATGTCAGAAAATAGACAAAAGATACATTTCCTTGAGTTGAAAATCTCACATCTGTACAATCAGTATACTGGCTGTTTGTATGTAAACTAAGACTTCACAATTCATCAGTCAGATTCATATGAATAATTTAAGTCATTTGTAGATGCAACAGTTTCATGTGAGAATCCCCTCTGTTACATTTTCATTATTAACTATCCTCTCCCTCTCATCTCCTCCTTCAGTCTTGCAGAGCTGAAGAGTCCCAGGCTCGACCCAAAGATCCACTCCGACGTTCCCTTCCAGATGTTGGACTGGAACAGTGGTTTGACATTAGAGAAGATCAGCCATAACCCCTGGGGCCTCCGTTGTCACAAACAGCAGCTCAGTCGCATGAGGTCTGAGTCCAAGGACCGCAAACTCTTTAGTATCCTCCATTAGCCAATCGCATCTCACACTAATGCTCAACAGCCGGATTTCATTCCAACCAAAACATTCAGCGATTTCCAGAGCTTTGGTAATAACTGTCAAATGTAGATCTTATGTGACTCAGCATAGTTATCTGAAGAATGAGAGGGAACTGTAGCCTCCGTTAATATGAGTGAGGCTGTGAGGAAGTAGGTAGGAATGAAAGGGAGGGTTATCGGGTTAAAGGTGGCGTTTTGATCTTCAGCTTCAAAGAGAGCAGCTGCGGCTGCCGCCAGAAAAAAACAGCTGAGGAAAGTGAATGAGCAACAAACACAATGTCCGCAGCTCAGCATTTGTTTTTAGTCAAAGCAGATTCATCAAGGCTGCTGTCATGTTGGATGGACAAAACAATATTTTGTGTCTGAAACTATCATACAATAGTTAGAACTAATAATAAAAACACCAGATTGGGTGAAAATAAGGGATGTTTTATTCATCAAACAGAAATTTGCTCCTTAACTTCAGTGTCTTAACCAGAGTTCCTATTGTTGGAGAACGTGGTTCACCACTTCTCTTACCCCTGCATCCTGGACCTGAAGATGGGCACCAGGCAGCACGGAGACGACGCCTCCGAGGAGAAGGCGGCCAGGCAGATGAAGAAATGTGAACAGAGCACTTCAGCGACGCTGGGGGTCAGAGTGTGTGGCATGCAGGTAAACAATGACTCCTTTACTCAAACTGTAAGAAGATAAGACTTTATTAATCCCGAAGGAAATTCTTGTTCTAGCTCGCTCCAATGAGTTGAATGATATTGGTGTTGCAGCACCTGTTGTTAATGCAAAAAGCGACTCCCCCTCCCTCCCTCCCTCCCTCCCTCCCTCCTGCTGCTGCGGCTGAAACTCCTTTCCGCCCGCACTGACTGAAAGCCGGATAAACTCAAGATAGATTCCGGTATGTTTTCATGAAGCCCTGTCTCTGTGATAACAGAACACTCACGAAAAACACTCTCACTCCTTGTGAGTGATGTTAACTCGTTCATTTTATTCGCCAGTGATCTAATGTTCCCTATAACAATAGAGGGAAGATACGGCCGGCATGTCCTCTTCCTTTGCCATCGTCTCCTCCCAGCTCTGCAGCCCCAGTATTTCCTGCTCAGCTCCTTGGGGATTTCATGTCTCTCTCCGGCAGCGTCGCTTCGTCAGAGGCTCATCAGCTTGTCCCTGGTGTAAACAATGGAGCCCTGGCGCTCCTCCACCAGGACGGGGATCCGACATTATAAAAGCACTCCTCAGGCCAATGAAAACGAAAAAATAACTTGTGAAACCACATTATATGAGAAAAATCCAGAAGTACTTAACGTAAGAAAAAGCTGCAACATGTATCTTCACCACTAGATGTCACTAGATTCTACACACTGAACCTTTAAACTTCAATAACACATTCAGAAAAGATGATAGCATGTGCTCCCGAAGGAACCATAGAACTGCAGTATTTATTCCGATAATATAGATTCTAGTTTCTAGTTGTTTATGTTGAGGAGGAGAATCTATTTATGTATTTGTGCTTCCAACACTGTACTATTGTTATACTTCTCACAGTAGTACTAGCACATCTGCAGCTCTTCGGTTACATCCAAGAGTATTTAAATGCTTCATTCACGCCTGCTTTGCACACAAGAACCAAATTTTATTTCGAAAGACTCTGTGGCTGTGTTTTATTGTGGACGTATTCCAGATTGTGTCTCTCAGTGGTGAACGTAACCTGGATAATCAATAACAAGCTTTGCTAACTCTTACTGACAGTAACAGTTCGACCTTTTCATCCGTCCAAAACAGGAAATTCCTGCTCTTACTTTTTAATAGCGCTGTTCCTTGTTTGTAACATTTTCTGCAACTAAGCAACCAGCTGCCGTGTAGACTGCTTCCTGTTTACACCGGCATGTGCGCTCCTAGTGCATTTGATGGTCATGTGTTTCGCCTTTTCCAGTGTGGTAGTATAGAGATAGATTACTCTTTGTGCAGGTACACACATATCACAGCCATATATTGTCGGTACAAATAAGTAGACAAAGTGTGACTAGTGGGATCTGATTTTATTTTGAATGTGAATACTTGTACTGTTATTGTCATATGTTTTAAAGATTCTCCATCTGTGTGTGCAGGTGTACCAGCTGAACACTGGTCACTACCTCTGCAGGAACAAGTACTACGGCCGCGGCCTGTCGATCGAAGGGTTCCGCCAGGCCCTCTACCAGTACCTGCACAACGGAAAGGGCCTGAGGCAGGACCTCTTTGAGCCAATCCTGAATAAGCTTCGCAGCCTAATGGCGGTGCTGGAGAGGCAGGCTTCCTATCGCTTCTACTCGTCTTCGCTGCTCATCATCTATGAGGGAAAGGTGAGTCAGGAATTAAAAAACTCAGTAAACATTCTGGTTCAGGTTTATTTTCATTTCCTCACACTAACAGCAGCGCAGTTTGTAGCTTTGTCGCTTCATTTCAACTAAAACCAAAATGCAGCAGTTCCTTATTTCATGCAGGTTAAGTGAAATATTTGGTCTGTGAGTGGCTGATGTGTCTGCATGCGCCACCATGAGTTTACACTGTGGAGGTGAGAGAAGAAGCTCAGATTGATGTTTGTTTACATTCCACAAAAAATATGAAAACTGAGGCAGGATTAGCAACCGGGCAGAAAGGGCAACTGTCCAGGGGCCCCAGACCCGCAAGATGACCTATGCAGCAATTTGAGTAAGCACAAACTATTATGCTTGGCTATACATTGATCCAGTTTCTATATCCTAGTTTTTATCAAAACATTATAAAATGTCATTTTCCTTCTTTCATTATCAAAATCTGTGTTGTACCATGAGATTCTAAAAGTCCAAACTATTAGTTAGGTAACATCATGTTGCATAATATGAGGAGGGAAGTTGCTGTCACAGAAAGACACACGTGTAACATTACCCATCACCGTCCAGTATAAACATTAAAACGAGAGTTATTATATGACTGCAGCTGTGAATACTCATCTACTGAACATGTGAGATGGATTTTTGTCTTTTCCTGGAATTTGTTTAAAGCAAAATTATAGAATAACACAGTGTGAAATAATTTCCTCCTCTGTGATTGTCTTCAGTGTTGTGTTCCTGCTGCCCTCATGAGGCGCGATCAGTTATTGTAGGTTTAATAAAAACATCGTTTTCTTTCTCAGGCTGTGAGACAGTGATGATGTTTTATCAGATTCATACTGATCAATACCGTGTTTGATTATCTCTGTAGGAAACTGAGGGCCCCTCAGTCCACAGCTCTGGGCAGCACACAGCCTGGCAACAGAAGACTCCTCTGGCCCCTACAGAGCCCGGCCCCGGGCCCTACACTCCCCCGGCCCCCGACACTCCCTGTCAAACGGACATGAGCCAGAACCCGGTGTCGCTGTCCTCTCAAGGGTCTGGACCAACGGCTCCGCCCTCCTCCGCCCCCCATCCTCCCCCACAAGCCCCAACCACCACTTCAGACTGCCACTCCTTCTCCCCCCCTACACCCTCGCATCACCCCCGTCCAGACTCCTCCTCCCTGTCCACTTCTCCCACTTTAATTTCCTTGCCCCCTCCTCCTGCCCCACCAAAGCAGCCCCCCCTTGTGGACGTTCATATGATCGACTTCGCCCACTCCACCTTCAAGGGTTTCCGCGGGGACACAGCGGTGCACGACGGGCCGGACCGGGGCTACATGTTCGGACTGGAGAGCCTGGTCCGGATCCTGGAGAGCCTGCGGGACGGCAACCTGCCCTAGCTCTGCACGCACACACACATGCACACACACACACACACACACACACATACATATACACCCACACCCACACACCCACACACACACACACACACTGCTCGTTGTGAGTTTGCTTAGGTCATGCTGCTGAGACATCTCAGCTGTAAATATGGAACAGGGTTCTCCAGGATGTCACCATGGAAACATGGGCATTCTACAGGAAAGTAGTTACTATAGCAACGGGCAGGAGGTGAGACAGTTGAGCTCTGGAACACCTCTGCACCACACACACTGGTTGTGCATCTTTACTTGTGAGGACCCTCACTGACATAATTCGTTCTCTTGCTCCTGAAGTTAACCATCACAACTAAAGCCCAAACTCCAGTACTCAACTAAAACCAAAAGTTCACACACAATCTTCATCAATCAGAAAAATCATAGATTAACAAAACCTTCTTGGTCGAAGTAATAACTCCTAACACCAAATCAAACTTTGAAGGATTTAAGGACCAGACGAGGTGCCCTCATGGTCCTCATAAACATAGACAATCAACAGCAGACAGACATACACACTTACAGTAAACACACACACACACTTACAGTAAACACACACACACACACACACTAAACACACACACACACACACACATCCTGGGAACATTTATCTCTGGAGCTGCACCGTGGAGGAGAGAAACAACCATTCAGCTCAATCCCAGGGACCGCCCACTGACAGCACACAATCACGTAACTCACCCCCCGACACCCCTCACCCCTCATCCCCCTCACACCTCTGCCTACTCCTCACCCCTCTTTCTCTACACAAACCAAACCTGGACAGGTGAACAGACTCTTTCAGCGTTACCTCCAAGACGCACTCAGAACCACAAACAAGCATCTGTTAAAGCAATAGATGGCGATGATAGATGGCAACTTTTTTTCTCGGGCAGTGCAGAGGGCGACATCGCCCACAGGGAGAAATGCGTCAGAAGTGTGCATCATAGCAGTTAGACTTTAAGGAAAGAGTAAAGATCATTTTTAAAAACGCTATATGTCCGTTTTTGGGGCTTAAAGTAGTCGGTGTCCTGTGAAAATCATCCCCTCTATTGTGTCAGTGTCAGTTTCCCAAATCCAGTCTAGTGATATTCTATATTTTTCATCCTGTCAACAAACCCCATGAATATCTATCGGATCAACAGGTCATGTTTCAGTGTAAAAGTCTGATTGATCTTGTTCCTTTGTGCCAAAACACATCACTTTTACATTGGATCACATGTTCAGTGAAAATCAACAAACACATTCGACTGAAGTTCACTTGCACCATCCTGCTGCTGGACACACTCACGAAAGACCCAAAATACGTTTTAATGTGCTGCTGAAAGACGTCCCCAGCAAACGCACTACTTCCTGGTGTTTGCTGGAAAGTTGCGATTGAGTGTTTTTTTATAGAACAGTAGATTTGTGTGTTTCATGCTTTTATTCTCTGGCTGACGGGAGAGAGATGATCAGAAACGACTCTTGTCTGCAGATGTTGCAGGTCGTGGTCTGCACTTCAACCCCTGAGCTCCCCTTCGAAGTTCATCCTTAAACTTGTCTGTCAGCAGCCAACAATAATCTTCCCACAGCCTCGGTTCAGCAGCTGCTCTGGAGCTTTCCGTCATTAAAGCCTAAAGATCAAAATCTCTAGATCAGCTGTTAATATGACTTTGTGGTAATAATTAGAAATGTTTAGGAAACAGTTTTCCCTTCATTTAAAAACAAAAAAAGTGCAACTTCTGTTTCTAACTGGTAAATAAGTGGTGATTACCTGGAAAAGGAAATAGCAGTTTTAACTGGGTGATATATAATATACTTTAAAGTCTTTGAAAATTCAAACTAACATTCTATGAAGACATGATATTGGGTCGTTGCATAGAAGTGTGTAGTCACCGATCTTTCTCTGCATTTTCAGTGTAACAGAAAATCATTAGTAATAATGTCTTTATCAAATTTTAGTTCCTATGAAGAAACTTTCAATTGTTCAAATGTGTGGATCTTGTGATTTAATCCAAAACTCTAGAAACAGCTTGAATTTTGAGGTGGTTTTGTTTTGTCGACTTTAAATTTTACTAGATTAACGTGTATTTACACAGGATTGAGAATTCAGAATGTTTAAAGAGACACGTCGTTGGTCTTCATGGGATTTGTTGACACGATTAAAGTGTGGAGTGGTACCAGCCTTATTATGTGCACTAGAGTGACATGGTGGAATAACAGGAATATTTATTGTCCAGAGTATTTTTCTGATATGTCAACACGACAAATGTGCACAAAATTGCACTAAAAGAAGTTGTGATATAATTTGCTTTGAATCATTAATAACAGAAAACCTGATAAATAATTGGACAAACGATAAAGAAACTATCGTTCAGCTCGACACCCAAAAAATACACCAGTAAATAAAATCATCCTCGGGTCGACGTCGGCAGAATTGGCCAAAGTGTCTCGACTGAGGATGTTATCGTTTCGTCTCATCTCATAGGTCAGATGAGACGGTGTCAGCCAATCACACACAACTTCCAGAGGGGGGCTGGTCGTGACACCACACCGCCCCCTGCTGGACAAGAACAGGAACTTAACCCCAAGAGCTGGAATAGAGCAAATATGAATATTTTATTTTTGGTTTAACAAGGTGATAATTTATTTTTTTATCGTACCTTTACCCATATGTGGGGGTAAATGTTCTGTCTTTTACATGTCTCTCCCCCTAAATGTATAAACTGTAAAGAAATTAAGACACTGTGTGAAAAGTCACGAGTATAAGCAGTATTACTTGAGCTAACTCAAGTCTGTTTTGTTTGCTGCAAACACTCGGCCTCAGTCTGACGTTGATTCTGTATCGACAGACAAAAAAAAAAAAAAAACGATGTTTCATGAAGAAACACAAGCAGCAAATCCAGACCTGAGTCCGCTCACTGAGCACGACGCCTCTGCGGAGCTGCTGCTCTGGTAAAAAGCTCTTCTTGAAAGTGTGAGTGTGTGCGTGTGTGTTAGAGCAGATGTAGACGCCATCTTTAGTCTTTGGTTTGTTTCACTTCACATTTAAGGAGTTGGTAAAGAACTGCATGCACGTTTACGTCCTCCTGTTTGAGTCATTTTTCATCACAGCGTCAAAACGGTCTTGTTACAGTCCTCACAGAGTCTAACGCAGTGACGGTCCGCGTGTCCTCTCAGATCGTGATATTTATTCATGGATATTAGCCTCAATGACTGATCAGAGTTATTTAGCAGCATTTTCTGCATCTGACATTGTCCTGTTTGTTAGAACAGTGGAAGTAAGTGAGATTAAATCTTTCCAGAAGCTTTTGGGCTTGTGTTGTGTTTACTGACTGATCCGAGCAGGTGAAGACCTGCGATATGAGAGGGGTTTGAAAGGTTCATGTGAAATGGTTTTGAAATAACACTCGGCTCTTCTCATTCACTTTAAATATTACTTATTATTAATGATTATTGAAAACTAACTTCTTTTCACAAAGGAGGGAACTGGAGTCATAGACCTCTTCGTCTTTTACATAAGAATCTTGAACTGTATCTTACCTGAAGGCACTGACACGTCTGTGAAAGTCAAAAACACAAATAGAAGCTCATCCCAGGCAGAGCTGCAACAAATAGTCAATTAATCAATTGACAGAAATTATTGGTGACCTTTTAGAAAATCCATTCTCTGGTTCCTGGATCAATAAAATGTAACCTACATGAAATATCTGCTCTCACAGCAGAGCATCTGCTCACAGTGACGACACCATTGTCCAATGACACAAAGCTCATTTTTGTCAAATTTTTATATATACATAATATATAATGTTGGTAATTCATATAAACACAGATCTGAAGATGAAATATCCGTCTTTGACACAAACACAATGTGACGGGTCGATTTTTCTTTTTTTACATTTTCAGAATAATTCATGGATCTCATACTTTAAAAGAATCTGATATTCATGCGTTGTGTAATTTTGCGCGGCGTGATTTAATTTGAAGGAGCTGTTGGGTTTTGGTGAAGCTCTTAACAACTTCCTCTCTCCTGCATCACCCTGGTGTGTTGCCCTGGCAACCGCGCAGGTCGTGCTCCCGGTACAGGATGTAGTCCTTTAGTCGCTCTGGCAACGGCAGGAAGCTCATGAAGACAGGAGATCGCAGGCGAAGGCGACCGAGGCAACGACGGATCCGCAGCCGACAGAGATGCTGCAGACTGCGAGCGTTTTCTGAGGAGGAGGAAACGTGGGGGGGGGGGGAAGTTTTACTGGTCCTTGGGGCAGAGATCAATAACATTTGATTTAATTCACCTTGCAGTTTGCAGATGTCGGGCCACTGCGGCTGCTCCATCACAGCCGCCTTCAGCTTGGAGCACAGGGTCACATGATCCACGTAGTCCAGCAGCACGGCAACAATCTGACCGGAGAGGTCCCTCAGCCAGTAGACGGTAATCACCTCACAGAACTGCACAGACAGACAGACAGGTGCTGCAGTGATGGACACCTGATGCATTTTATAACTGCTCATATTCAGGTTGATCGTTTGAACTCGTGTTATTTCTCGAAAAGGTTTAAACACTTTCTTCACGATGTCCCATCGCTGCAGCTCCTCAGTTCAGCCTCTGTCTCAAACACTTGGTTTTAGCTCCTGTCTCTTATTCACCTCCCACAGTGGGACCTCCCCCTGGATCAGCTCCTTACCATGGTGTCTTTGATCACCGTGTTGCTCCACCCCTCGTAATCTTCCGGGATGTGGGAGCCGTTGCCATAGGGACAGTCGAAGCAGCGCTCCACGTCATAACCGTAGTTACACAGCATCCTGAGAAGCACCTGACGCACGCAGACAAAACAGGCCCGGTTAGATGTATTACCACATCTGAATCAGGAGACATGTCTTCATGATAACTGTCCTCAGCACCTCGTCCTTCAGAGCGTACTGCAGAGCCGAGGGGAAGTGGGTCGTGTTTATCCTGCAGTAATAGTTGACGTTGGCTCCGAACCTCAGCAACAGGTTGATCAACGTGTAGTTGCCCAAACGCAGAGCGACCTGAAGGACACGGTCAGCGGATCAGAGACAGAACGACAGACATCCTAAACTAAGATTAACTAATCCTAAACTAACAACATCACAAACCACCTCTGTGCACAACAACTACATGTTCGTTTTGATCTTCTCACCTGACTCACAAAACAAGTGAATAAGTGGAGTTTGTACTCGTTTACACACACACACACACACACACACACACACACACACACACACACACACACACACACACACACCTGCAGACATTTGACTGGGTCCTGGTTGGTCATGGCTCCGGCCTCCAGCAACAGTCTGGCCGACGCCACGTCGTTGTTGCAGACGGCAAAGAAGAGAGCTGACTTCCCCTCGTCGTCATAGCTACGGCGAACACTGGGATGCAGCATGTCGTTGGGGTCATAACCTGCATCCAGCAAGGCCTGATGGGAGTTGGGAGAGTTGTGATTGCTTGAAGTTTGTCACATCACACTGATCATGATAGTGAACACGAACACACACACACACACACACACCTTGATGCAGTGTGAGTGTCCTCCTGCAGCCGCCGCGTGTAGAGGACTCATTCCGCTGTCGTTCACCTTTGACAGTGACGTCACCGGAATAAGAATCTTTAAAGCTCTTAAGAGAAAACACACACACACACACACACACACACACACACACTTAACATTGAAAATACAAAAAAAAACCTGTTCCTGCATTCATTCAAATAATGTCAATCAAATACAAAACACTGGATCCTACATCTCCCATAATGCAACTGGTCAAAGGCCGGTGGAGTGATGGTAAGTCTCTGTACTTCATCTGATTAATTTCATCTGATGAGCTACTTTTAATTAGAATGTTTTAATTTGTTTAAAATCAAATCATTTATTTTGTTATTGTTATTATTCTTAAGTGGTTCCCTCGTGTGAAACATATTAAATCTTTATAAGAATATAATGATTTAACATTTACTGCAGGTGTCCTCTGTGTGCCACACGGTGGATCGGCATGTGTCCCGTGAGTTTGGCGACGTTGGCGTCGGCGCCGTATTCCAGCAGCAGACTGATGACAGCTGGATCTCCAGCTGAAGACGCCTCGTAGAGGACGGACGCTTCATCCTGCGCCTGGGACAGGACGTCTGCACCTGCAGGACACACACACACACACACACACACACACACACACACACACACACACACACACACACACACACACACACNACACACACACACACACACACACACACACACACACACACACACACACACACTCTGCACTTTACAACACGTGACACACACAGAACATCACAACATGTTCTGTGTGTTGATCACAGCAACTAGACGGTCTGACAGTGATGGGTTTAAATCATACACGTACACTAATACTTCCATACAGCCCCTGACGTAGACTCTCTCTCCAACCTTTTATTAACGGTCCAAACTCTGCCCTCTCACCTTTCTTCAGCAGCATCTGCACCACCTCCAGGTGTCCATTCTGGGCCGCCAGTGCCAGTGGCGTGAGGCTGTAGTGGCTATGAGGGTCTGGCTGGGCTCCGGCGTCCAGCAGCAGGGTCACGAGCGCTGCTTTGCCCAGACGTGAGGCCTCGTGGAGGGGTCGGCGTCCGTGGCAGCCCTCCTGGTTCACCACGGAGCCCTGCTGCAGCAGCAGCAGCTTCACCAGGTCTGGACGGTCTGAGCGAATGGCTGCAGAGGGAGAGACGATATATGACACTTCACATGTGAATATATGGGACATGTAGATTTGTACTTTTTGAGCTACTCTGCTGTTTGTTTGCTTAGAATGCTACAAATACATCAATGTTTTTTGATGTTCACAAGACAATGAATTAAGGTTTTGTTAAAACAGTTTATGAAGCAGGAAAATCTGGAAATATGAAACTTTAGGAAACCGCCTCGTTGAACACAAGCTCAGGTTTTGAGGAGGTGATCGTACCAACAAACAGCGGTGAGTCCTCCTCCAGGTCCTGACTGTCCGGCTGGGATCCATGTTTGAGGAGGAAGGAGACGTTTTCTATCAGACCTTGTTCTACGGCCAGGAAGAGAGGAGTCTGACCACGAAGAGTCCGACTCTCCAAAGACTCTGGACCTGAAGCTGGAGACACAGGTACATTGATCTGTTTCATCCATCGTGTCAGACGTTATGTTCCCATTCTTGTTTCTTTCAACTTGCTGCAAACATTCAAGGATGAACTGATTACAATTTGGTTTGGTAGGTCAAAGGTCACAGTGGCCTCTCGAACATGATACTTCAACTTTTCCTTCAGGGAACTTTTTCTGAGTTTGACCAGTTTTCACTTGGACTCAAAAATGAAGTGATTAGATTTGAGTGATCTTCCATACGGACTGAGATTGCTGTGTTGGACGGAGGCCTACTCCTGCAGGGGGGAGCAGATTCAAACCTTTGAACGTGAGCTCCAGGATGGTTTGGTTGCTCTGAGCTGCTGCTTCATGAAGAGGAATCCAGCCTCTGCCGTCTGTCTGGAAAAACTGATCCTTCTGTGTATCACTCAGATCCTTCAACAGCTTCTCGTCACCTGGACAATGAACAGACGTGTTCACAGTCATATCAAGATACTCAGATATTCAGATGTTTAACTGCACTGACGGCTTCTAGTTTTCACAGAACTTTAGTCTCTCAGTGTTAATTTGACCAAGTGGGAAGACAGATTTAAGGAAGATTATAGAAAGAAATGTATTTAAGTAGAAACAATTGATGAAGAAAAGGCCAAATATTCATGTGATTTGTTGTTATTGTGTGTTTTATATCATTATACTTTGAATATCAGATGGAAGAAGAAAGTTGCTACCTCATGAGAATATCATGGGACATTTACATAAGAAAAGAATCCACAGATTAATCAATAATAAAAGGAACATGATATTTTTAGATTTGTTACGATCATGTGGGACAAATAGGGAAAGTTGTCCCCGGGGTGGTGACAAATTCAGAACTTTTCTTTCCTGACTCATGTAGCCTCTGAAAAAATAACTAACACAGAACTTGTGTAAACTGAATATTAAGAGTCATCAATGAACAATGAGTGTTAAAAATAGTGTTAATCTGCCTTTTTATTGTTTTTAGAGCTGCAGCTGTTGTTGGTCCCGAGTCTCAGCAGCAGCTGGTGCAGTGGGAGTTCACCTGTTGATTTGTGGTTTACTGTTTCCGATACTTCCAGTGCACTACACTGCTGATCGGTGGGCCGCTGCACTGTAGCAAGACGCAGCCACTTCTAATTCACTTTTTAATAAACCACACGACTGATGGCTTCGTCATCGCAGTTCACCTGCACTTACATTTAAGACCTGACAGACAGATGAAGGTTGAATCCTTTCTTTAATAGTAAATCACAACAGAAGTGTTCTCCTGCCTCACCTCGTCTTATAGCAGAGAAGACCGAGCTGCTTCCTGCAGAGTCACATCCAGAGCTGTGAGGGGAAGAATCAAACAACATAAAAACACAAATTAAACATGAAAATAGTGAAATAATATATTTACTTTTGACCTCCCAACATTAATGTTATTCTTTACAACCGATCAGTTGTTAAAACGGATTATAACTTATTTTATATCTTTAATTATAGGAAAACAAACAGGCAAAATAAAATGAAGCTGTGAAACATAAACAACAGTCAAATAAATTAATTTATTAACTGAGCAGAGCGTTGATCATTTATTCTGTGCTCTGATCCACTGACCTCCTGTCGCCTCGTGTTGTTAGATCTCTGTCGGGTTCCTTCTGTTTGTTGCTCTCCATCAGACTCTGTTCTATCATGTACTGAGTCGCAGCATCTTCTTCATCATCCTCATCCTCCTCCTCCAACCTGAGTCGCGGAAACTCCATGTTGTGCACATGAAGGGTTCTGACCCTGTTCAACACGGAGAAGGGAAGAAGCTGTATTTTTTTTTTTTTAAATTTCTCCAAACTGTGCATTGTGGACATTACGTAGCCAAAAGTATGTGGACACCTGAACAGGAAAGGTCAAGTTTTTAAATCATGTGCTTCAGTCTGCTGCTGTGACTCCTGAGGTTTCTCATTCAGGCAGAAGAACATTCGTAAGAAGGAAGATAGGATTGAAATAATATGCTCAACACACAACTACAATTTACAAACACTAAAAACAACTGGCAGACAGTTCATCTCATTTTGTGCAGACAGATGTACGTGTTTGTTTGTTTTTTACCTTGTGGTTTTCAGTTGAGTCGTTTTGGTTCCTTGTGCTCAGTTGTGGAGTCGCAGCAGATTAAAAGAGGATCGGTTGTTGTTGCTGGAGATGGAAGGTTTCCTCTGACTGAAACCAGAGCTGTTCGTCTTTGTGGGTTACATCAATAAATCCATGTTCCTCACGGGGTTGGTCTGATTTCCCCACTAACCTAACTCCTCTGTCTTAGAAAATATTTAATAGTATTTATGATCCTGCAGAGAAGAAGGTGCAGGTTCATTTGAGCCTCAGACGTCTTCTGTTTTAGCTGTTTGGCTGCAGGACTCAAGCTGTGTGTGTGTGTGTGTGTGTTGGGTGGGGGGGTGTAACAGGGGAGAGGACACATGTTGCTATATTTACCCTGCAGCTAAGTTTATGCAGTGAACTGATCAACAGACAGTGAGTGTGACTTTTATTGCGTGTTGCACCTAATGCTTTGTGGAGCACTTTGGTCCACCAAGTTTTTAAAGGTGCTGTTTGTGTAGTTCATGATCTTTAAATACAGTATTAACAGGTGACTACACATGGCAGCGTCAGTATTTACACACAGAGCAACAAATTGTACTTCTGTGCTCCAGGAAATGCACACGTGTTTTCTGTATTCAGTATTAACAGATCATTCACAATCAGGAACAATGTCTACATTTGATTGACACAAAGATTGTCTTTGTTGTGATAATGACATCAACCGTCTTGAAAATTAACAAATTGTTTTAATTAATCTGCATTTATTTAAATTAATAGTGACTCAGTAAAGATGACCTCGGGCCCTGGAAAAGATCCCACTGTCGTTCGACCCTAAGACAAAGTGAGGCCGACCACTCAGAGGGACAGAAAACAGACTAACCAGAATATAAAGAGTAAGTTGTGTGTTTGTTATCGTGGGATCTCTCAGTTGTCTCAAACTATCTGGCTGCTGTGACTCCTGCAGCCTAATGGAGCGTAGCACCTTTCTTCAAACTTTCAGTTCTTGTGCACCTGAAGCACCGGACAAGTTTTTAACCAGAGTTTCACACAAAGCATGTTTGAGGCCTGAGTCTCTTTTCTACCAAACCCCAAATTGTTTGAGTTGGAGGTTTGATAACGAGCTTCTCGTGTCCACATGTTGAAGAGTCCCAGTACAAGACACATAAGGATAAATCCTTTTGGATTAAAGTGCTTTTTAAATTATGTTAAATTAGTTTATTAAAAATAATCAAAGGACTTAAAGGAATCCATGTTTAACAGCAAAATAAATTTCATGTTATTGGAAAAAGTCCTGAATGACCTTAAAGAAGGAAAAATACACTCATGTAACAAATGCAATGAAACCAGACTGTAATTGAAAATGTGTTTATTTTATTTTCTCCATCAACTGTTTATGACCTGGGTCTCTCCTTCTTGCCTTTGTAGAGAGCCAGCAGGGACACATTGGCAACCTTGACCACCTTGAAACGGACTCCGGGAATATCACCCACAGCGTGACCTTTACGTCCAAATCCTGCCACCAGAACTTCATCGTTCTCCTGCGGGAGAGGTAGAGACAAAGAGGCCGAGGTTAGAAGAGACAGGTGGTTAGAGGACGCGAAGAGACAGGACTGAGGGACAATGTCAAACAACCCTGAGGGATTCCAGAGTAAAGGACCAATTAGACATAATGTCACATTAAGACAGCTACATGGGATGTTTTCAGTCACAAGTCTACGTGTGTACGTGTAGCTCCTGGAAAAAATACAAAATAAATATGCTGAAGCTTCGAGAGCCAGATATTCAGACACCAGGCTGCTCGCCGTAAGATTTCAATTAAACGTTTGCTACTAAATTGAAGTTGCATCCATTAGTTTTACTTTATTTTAGCTTAATTTTCCTGCTAATGGATTTTCACATCCATGGCGTTTACCTCGATGTAGTTGAGGCAACCGTCATTGGGGACGAAGGCGGTGATCTTCTTGCCGTTCTTGATGAGCTGCACCCTCACACATTTCCTGATGGCAGAGTTGGGCTGCTTAGCCTCCACTCCTCTGCAGAGAAAACACAAAACACTCGTCAACTAACTCGAACTACAGAACCGTCCTCTCAATAACCTCTGATTCAATGACTGATGTCAGCCTCGGATCAGTTACAGAAGAGAAACTACGGCCAACAGTGAGATAAAAAGCACCAGTCCTAAGACCAGAAACACAAGACTCTCAAAGACTCAGTGAACTTCACCTTCAGATGTCTACAGGTCAGGAGGTCATGTGGTACTCACACTTTCTCAAGAACGATGCCTTTGGCGTGAGAGGCTCCTCCAAAGGGGTTAGCCTTCAGGGCTGTGCCCAGATGGGCCTTCTTGTACTGTTTATCGTGCCATTTCTGCTCACGGCGGTGGTTACGGAGCTTCCTGGCAGTACGCAGACCACGACACTTTCCTGAGGAAACAAAGACAAGCAGCAGTTAAATCAATGCAGAAAAAACAAGAGACAGCAGACTCACATTTCCTGATTCATCAGTGGAGGCAAAGATCTAGAAAAGCTTTGATATCAGGACGACAAACTGTCCCGATTATATCAATTACTAACGCGCACAACCGAAGAAAGGAGCTGGAGACAAAGCAAATAGTTGCAAAGTGACACCGTGTTAAAGTTTCTTCTCCTCCAGGCTGGACTGACTCCGGCTTCACAGCCCAGTTTAAGAACTACATCTCAGCAAGCGTTCGTGTGATGATCAGAAAATACTGACAACCGGCTCAGTGGCTGTTTGGCGTCAGTGTCCTGGTGAGAGATGGTTGAGACGGAGCCAACGATCGAACCTCCAGAACCCTGAAGCTGAAGCGGCTCCACTGAACCCAGCTTCTTTTCTACGTGTCCCCCACTGGAGGAGGAGGAGGACGAGGATGATGAGACTTTAATTTAACAGAACTGTTCTAATGAACCTCTCACGTCCAGAACCTGCGGCTCTTAGCGAACCGTGCTGAGGTGAACGCTAGCTGAGGCGCTAACGTGAAGCTAACGAAGCTCAGCCACAAAATCTGACGTCAGAGAAAAGACAGCGATGGATTAAAGCATTGATTAAACTCAACACTTCAACAGAAGCGGTTTAAAACAGATGGAGACAGGACTGGATGCTAAGCTAACCGTGCTAGCTGTCCGCCTGGGACTCGGGAGGTGTTATGGCCGCTCCACGTTGCGGCGGAAGACGAATGTTTAACGGGGAGATTTTAAATGATCTGCGGGTTTTAACCGACACTCGAACATCGAGGTTTGTGCGTAAGAAACTCGCAAACGGCGCCGACGCGAAGAAAGTTTGAAATACGCAGAATAACTCGGCATTTTTGATCAAGTTTGACACGCACCCATGTTTTCACAAGCGAGCCTGGGACCGAAAGGAAGGACCCAGGGTGCACCGCGCTCAAGTCGAGCCTGAGGACCCCGGCCGGGCGTGGCCACACAATGTGCCTGACTAAAATCATCAGTTATCTGATTTTAAAAAAAATATATTGTTAGATAATTATTATTTTAAAGATGATTTTGTTTTTAAATTTACCTTTTCACTAAGACAAAAAATTACTTAATATACAGAGAATATGAATTAATATTTTAGAGGTTATTCCAAACTTTCATTTAAACATAAACTGCATCCTACTGAATAATAGAACAAACAGTTTTAAATAAATGAAAACAGAGTTATAATATAACTATAACATTACAACCAGAATCTCAAAGTGCTGGAAAGTCTCCCTGTTAATCTTTGAAACTTTAGTTTAATGAGTTTAATGAGTTTAGTTCATCCAGTGCAGCATTTGAAATTGAAAAGTCAGAAGAACATATATAAGTTCTCCAAAAATAATAAAACTACATATTTTAAGTTGACTCAAGATTTTACTGACTAACATTTTATTAGATCTGAATTAAATGATTAATTGCGTTAATTACACTCTAACTGTATTTATGGCTATTGGGACGTGAAGAGGATTTCAACAAACAACAGTGTTTAGGTGTTTAAGAAACAAATTATTAATCCTACGTATATATATGTGTGTGTGGATCTGTATATATATATGTGTGTATATATATATATATATATAAGTAGATAGATAGATAGATAGATGGATACATTTCTTCTTGTGTTCCTGTTGCTGCTGTGACACCTCAATTTCTATCACCTGTGTGTCTGGATCACAACCAGATTAAGTCAGTGATGTTCCCTGTCTGGAAAAGGGATTAGGTCCTTTCAGGATATTCAAGCTTTTTAATATACTGCTTTAGTGTTTTCATTAAGTGTCAGTGAGTAAATTTTAATTCTTTCACATTTCTGTAGTTCTGTTAGTGTATGTTGATCAAATTGACAGAACATATCTGGTGAATGTCGCTCTGTCAGTGTCATCGTTACTGTGACCTTTAATCTGCTGAGATTTATTTTTTTGACTGAACCGACCTGAACAGAGAAAATATGTGAACAGTAAATTACTTTAACCGATGGGCGGGACGCTGTCAGCCCTGCCTGCCCCAGTCACTCTCTCTCTGATTGGATGATTCATGGGTCTCACAAGGGGGCTTAAAGACAGTGGGCTGATTAAAGTAGATTACGAGGAGGAGAGGGGGAACAGTGTGTGTGTGCTGGCATCACACTCTGGTCGCCACAGCCATGGCTCCTCCTTGGAAACACTGCAGCATCCTTCTCTTCTCTCTCCTCCTCCATCTGCAGTCGTCTACCTGCCTCCACCGGCGGCCTGCTGACAGGTAGGTGGAGAGGAGCAGAGGCAGAGATGTGAAGCAGATTGAAGATTAGAGTTTCTGTTTTTGACCTCTCCTGCCTCTCTAATCTTTGCCTCCTGACACGTTCAGCTCAAAGACTACTGATCTGTTCCCACTGACCACAGGCGCTGTGTGGAAGTTCATTAATTTATTCTTTTTAATTTCTTTAAAACTGTGATTTTTTTAAAATGATGTGGTCCTTTGGGGAGCAGAGAAGACGTGTCAGCCCAACAAGAAACAATTTGTTGATAGGCAGAAAATTAAAAGACAAAAATTAAGATAATTGAGTATTCACAAATTAAAAAAAGAACTAGGTTTGTCCTGCTTCTTTGTTGTGAGGATGTTTTATATCACAGCAGAGAGACTGGAGCTTACGTGTATCAACAAACTAAACTATGGGAGCTAAATGAGGATGAAAAGCTCTGTAGAACTGCTGTGAGCTGGTCACTGCCAAGAGCTAAAAGGAGAGTTCACTCAAGCAGATTGACACAAACAAGTATTATTCCGTGTCGTGTCCTCGCAATTTCTCTCTACTGCCAATGTCCAGAGGTAATGAGGAAGATTTGGGTTTTTCTTTGTAAAGAGGCAGAAAATAAAGGTGTGGATGTGAAGGTTTTGGATTTCGAGCACATCTTACTGTCATGCTGGAGTTTTCATCCTGTTGCACATGAAACATTTCATGAGCATGTTTTTACAGAATCGTTCAGAGTCGAAGTTCTTGCCTAAAAATGACGTTAAGACTAAACTTTAATGAGACGATAATGTTGCTGGACGTGTAAACAGATGTTCAGGCTGTGTCGTTTTTCACAGTGTGCAGCTGTTCGTGGTAAAATAGAGAGAAGCTGCAAAATCTCCTCTTGGCCGAGAGCCACCCCATCCTTCATGACCGGTGTGTGTGTGTGTGTGTGAAATCTGATTGTATGATTATATAATCAATTTGATCCCTCAATCCACAGTCCTGAGCTCTGACCCAGAAAACAGGAGGAGATAAACCTCGTTCTGCAAAAGAAGTAACAATGAACATTATTTTTTAATATCAGTTATTTATTGACTCTCCTGTCGTTTTTTGTTTACAGAGCTGCTGTCGCTCCAATACACGGTTAGTATCTCTCTACCTATCTATCTGTCTATCTATCTATCTATCTGTCTGTCTTTTTTTAAATCTATCTATCCACCCTTAAAGGGGGGTACCTTCAAGTCTCAAATGTTTTGAGGGACATTTAAACATTTTATTAAGTGACAGAGTTAATTCTGTTGTTTCCTCTGCGTATGGAGGGGTCACACGCAGTGATGGAGGGATGTGGATGGAGGATACAGACCAAACAATCAGACAAATGCTGCAGGTAAACTAGATCTTCTACCAAGTTTTTTGTTCAGTGGTGAACAGCGAAGCAATCAATGTTATACCCACTTAAAAAATAAGAAAGTGTTGTGATCGTGACAGAGAGAAGTTGAGAAAAGAGAATGAAAGGGAGGAAGAAGAGAAAGGAGTGAAGTGAGTCAAAAGGCCTGACGTGGGGTGAGAGGGAAAAAACCTATATCCTAACAAAGGCTGTGGAGATACACGAATTTATTTTCATAATCAAGTAAACAATAAATATAGAGGAAAACAAAATAAAGAGGGTGAATCAGTCAGTGTTGAGTGTCTTTAACATGTTTAATATAACATGCTTATCAATTAAACACATGTGAGTGATATGTAAATACGTATAAATGCCTCTTTCTGAATTCATTCACTTGGTGTGAATTTATTCTCACATGAAATGACAAACTTTCTGTCTCCAGCCTCCTCCTCAGTCCTCAAAGGCTCCACAGAGGAAGTTACTTCAGGTTCCAGGAGCTGCTGTACCCTTTCCTCCCCTCAAGGTGGCGTATTTCACTTAACACATGACTTACCTACAGTATATGTTCCAGGTCAAGTCCTGGACCTGGTCTCTGCACGCAGACATGCAACTTATATCCATCTTCTCACGTGACGACAAAAGGACAAAGAACAGAATTATTTCATGATCCGTGAGATCATCACATGTTTTTAGCGTCACTGTCATAAGAAGATAAAGTTTTTAGCTTTGAGACCATCCATTCACTAGGCAGCCTCTTGGTAGGTTTTTAAATATCTTATTTAGCAAGATCACTTTCTCAGCTCTAAAAGCATCAGATGTAAGGGTATGAAACACATGTACAAACTAGTAGAGTGAAAAACATACTTTAAATGATCATCATATTTGTACAGTATTTGTGTAAATCTCCTGCACTGCACCTCTGTCTCCCCGCAGGTGTTGTCGGATGGGGAGCCGTGCGTCATGTTCCAGGCCAGGAGACTATCTCTCCGCTTCGAGAAGCAGAAGCAGCTGGACCTGACGGAGCGAGCGTTTTCTCCTCAGAAACCTGTGGACACCAGCCAGTCTGTCTGCCGCCAGGACAAGGCCACGTATGTTCTGTCCACCTCTCTGTCTGATGTGCACACTAACTTCAACAGCATCAGACAACAGTGATTGTTATTTGGATTAGTTTTTAATAGCAAAGCAGGTAATTGCTTCCATATTGGCCCCCCAGGTCCCGTTTGCCTTGGGCCCCAAAAATCCCTCCAAACGCTCATGATAATAATCAAAACAGAGACAGTTTGTCTGAGGAGGGAGGAAATGTTCTTGGGTCATCAAGTCACAAGGTAACAGTAACGTGTGTGTTTTCTGAAGGTTGCTCATGAGGTTTGGAGACGTGGAGGATTTGAGAGGCCTTTCAATCAGGTTAGTCACACCCCCTGTTTGCTCTATTTAAACTAGAATGCAAACCTCCACCAAGGCCGAACAATCCTACACATGATTATCCAGCTCTTATGGTAGAAATATAAAAGAAAAAAGGAAAAGCTCTGACTACCTACATCCCATTAGATTCTGGGGAGGATGTTTCTTTAATTCACAACTACAACAACATTTGATGGGTTCTCTTCCTGAGTCCAGATCTGGTGAAAATTGGTTTTGTAGTTTTTATGTAATCTTGCTCACAAATAAACCAACAAACCATCAATCAGCTGAAAACATCATTTCCTTGTTGGAGGTAAAAAATGACAATCATGTGATCAAAAGTTTCCCTGTGGAGAAATGTTTCCGTTCAGAAATACACCCCATAAAGCAAGTTGTGTTTCTTTGAGTCCACGGTCTACATGACATGTCTGGATATGTGAAAAATGAAGAACCAAGTCGAGCAAACATGTGAAGTCTGGGATTCACGGTCTTCTCTCGTCCCCCTGGTGTCAGACTGCAGCTGTCCAACACTTTCTACGAGTCGTCAGGTCAGTGGTGGTTCTCCGTGGACAGCGTCTCTCTGCTCTACAACACGTCTGAGGAAGCTGTGTTCAATGCCAGCGAGGTGTACGCTCCAGCCTCCTCTTCCTACCACTGCCTCCACGTCAGCAGCCTGCAACGCCACAGCGCCCTGCTGCTGCCCAGCACCGACCACGCCCGCCGCTGGACCATCACCTTCACCGACTTCCAGGTACGAGTCACTGACACACACCTTGACCCCAGGGAGGATGTCTTTGAACCATCTGACTACTATCACTTATTTATTACTTCTCAAAATGTCTCCTCCCTCTCCCCAGATTCAGGCCTTCAACGTGTCCTCCGGTAAGTTTTCTCCTGCGAGCGACTGCGCCACCTTCCTGACGCCAGCCATCCTGATGGGCCTCATCACCTCCCTCATCATGCTGCTGGTCCTGGCCTACGCCCTGCACATGGTCATCCACCTGAAACACATCGAGCACGACGACGAGCACAAGGCCGACATCTACTACCCACAAACCCCTGAGCAGCCTGAACACTGCTATGTGGAAAACCTGGCAGAGAAGAATATTCTGTAGTAAAGCCAGGGAGATAAATAGAGACGGTTCTCTCTCTCACACACTTCACAACCACGGACGCTGACATCTGACACCTAAACTCTGGTATGATGGAACTTTCAGCTCAGGATTTTCTTTTTTAAACATATATTTATAGCGTTTTGTCTATCGGTGAATTGCTGTATTTGTCTTTCTTATAAATTAATTTTAAAAATGCGTCATTTGGTTTGCTCTGTTTTTCTTTAGATAGCCGTTGACAATTGTATTTATCGTTGTTTTTCTGTGTTTCTTGTTACAGAGCGTAAAAACATTTGGCAGCTGCAGACTCAGGGTCTGCAAGACTCTCATGAAACAAAGCAAAGACATTTCTTTCAACATACAGTATTATAATGGCAAAGAGAAGACGTGACGGTTGAATTACTTTATTGATTTGAGTCTGTAGATGGAACCCCCCCCCGACTTCATTACTCTTTGTCTCAATGCAATTCCAACTTTTCCCTTGTCACCTTAAGAACATCACTGTTTAAAAATGTCCTGACCTTTTCTAAATTATTCAATTTAATCCCTTTACGAAAACATTTGCATACAGTGTGATCACCGCCGCTTTGCCAACTGTATAAAACTGTCGCCTTCCTCTCACTCTTTAGTCAGCCTGCTGCCTCAGTACATTCAGCATATTCACTGCAGCAGAACTCTGGACTGGACTTCAGATGATCAGCAATGAAACTTAAGGGTAAATCTACAAGACGTGTTGGTGCTGGGAGGGTGGAGGCAGGAAACTAAGGGAAGAAAATACAATAACCCTGTCACAGGCCTCAATTCTACATGAATTAGGTAAAATAGTCACAGAAATGGAAAATGCAGACACTGGCCAGAAACAGTTGAGCACATTGTACTTTATTGTACGGTTAGTAATGAGAGGAATCAGGTTTTTAGGGTTACATTATTATTATTATTACATCAAATAATCCTTTATTAACCATACAACAATCTACTGCGTTACAGCAAAGGGGACTGTCAAAAATAGCAAAATAAACATGGAAGGAAAATATAAAAATATAAATGAGTCGGTGATTATTATTTATTATTATTATCAATAAAGTGATTCAGCTAAAATCATGTATATTTCCTGTATACTCTCTTGATTTACACTCCAGGCCTGTAGGTGGCAGCAATGGGCCTTCAAGCTGGTTTGATAGATATTAATAGAAAGTCTAAAGAAGCAGGTGGGGACCCACGCTGACCTCCGGGAGCTTTCAGCTAATGTACGAACTTTTAAATATTAAACACCACACACTGATTTAACCTGAGGTTTTATTCATGAACCCTTTGTGGTGTTTAGTTTTTAAACAAGCCGCCGCAGGTTGAGTTCAATTCGCGGTTTTAGCGTGTTTGTCTCCCTGTTAGCATGCGGCTAACCGGGGTAGCTGTGTGACTCCAGCCGCCTCTCACCCTCCACATCGCCGCCTCTCTTCAGTCTGCTTCTGCCCTGTTGTCACCTCGCTGGCTCCGGGGACTTCATGTTGAACCGCCTCCCCGCTGCCCTCACTCTGATCCCCCGCCGCCTGCTCCTCTCCTCCCCGAAGACTCTGACCCGAGCCTGCCGCCGCCTCCTCGGCATGGAGCCCGCCGTGGTGAGGTGTCTCCCCGGGGAACCCAAACTCACCATCTCCTTCACCCTGGACGGCAGCAACAAGCACATGCTGCGGGACCAGAACGAGCCGCTGGCTAAGGTCCTGGCCCGGATCTCTAACGGCCTCGCCAAGGGTCAGGGGAAGGCGAAGAAGTCGAAGAAGCACAAGTCGCAGCAGCCGAGCGAAGCCCCGCAGCCCTCGGCCGTGGTGAAGCTGTTCTACGGGGGGGACGAGGTGCCCGACACGGTGCTGAACTCGGAGGCCTGGCGGGACGGAGCCGTGCTGCAGGTGGGAGACGTCAAATACTCGGTGCAGAGGAACTCGCCCACCTTCACCACCGCCGAGCTCCCGGTGTCTCTGATGGCCGGGTTCCCCGTCTGCCCCAAACTGGAGGTGGAGTTCGGGGACCTGCAAGAGTGCGAGTTCACCTGGTTCAAAGAAACAGGCCCAGACACAAGGTAAAGGTATTATTAATTACTGAGTGTTCATGCTTTCTGCAGGATTTCTGCACCGCATCCCGGAGGAACTGATCCAGTCATCGTTGTTTCAGGGTTTGAATCTTCGCAGTTGGAGCCTCAGTTCCATTTGAAACCAAAACAGATTGAATTCCAATGTGTCATCTACTTCCTCATCCAGACCACATCAGACCAGTTCAACATCTAAATCCACTTTACTCAGACCTGTCAGATCTGGACTGTATCAGCAATGAGTTTTATTTATGAAACAAAAAAAACTTTAAACACTTCAAAACATCATATTTTATAAATTGCTCTAGTGAAATGCAAGTAACTATTAACTAACGGTCACATATATGTAGTGGAGTAAAAGGTTTTTCTTTGTAATGAAGTAGAAGTGTGAAATTTAATGAACTGAAAATAATCAGTACAAGTACGACAACAGTCTCTGCAGCGTCGGACGGCGTGAAGAAATTAAAAAACACCCCTGCTCAAAACCAAAGATAACTTAATCTAGGTCATCTGAGTATCAATACCTTTTTATATTGGACTTTCTTTACACATTGAGAAAGCAGAACAGCCTCCATTGTAAGATCGCACTGATGTTGGCTGAGGAGAACTGCCTCAGCTTTAATATATTTCAGATGTGATGATGGGTCATCCAGCACATTTCTTCTCATTCTTGTTCTTCTTGTCTCAGCCCTAAAGTTGCTGGGGAGGTTGAAGGTCTGGAATCAAGCTGGACTCAGGTGGGATGTGGGAGAGTCCACATCCCGTCCAATAAGGACATTGGCTGCAGACTCAAACTCCGCTGCACACCCAAAGATGGAAGTCGCAGTGGCTTGGCCAAGGAGCTGGTCTCTGTGGGAGCCGTGGAGGCCGGACCAGGCATGTGCACATTTGACGACCGACACGTGTACACTGTCAGAGAGGCAGAGTGGCCCGCTATTAGGGTTGTGTCCTACAACATCCTCGCAGATGTCTACGCCCAGACAGAACTGTCCAAGACGGTGCTGTACCCGTACTGCGCCCCCTACGCTCTGCAGCTGGACTATAGACAGAACCTGGTCAAGAAGGAGCTGGCTGGATACAACGCTGACATCATCTGTCTGCAGGAGGTTGACCAAGGTAATCAGGGACCAAACAACCACATAACTGTAAATGGATCCACAATTTCAGTGATAAGTTAATCGAAAGACTTAAGAGTCATATCAGCAAAAAACCTGAACCATTGTCTACATACCTTATCTCTACACCAGTGAAAGTGTCCTCAATCTTTACATCTTATTTCTATGACACATAATTCAACTGAACTGTTATCACAAGAAAACTTCAAATTATTAGAAGAGGAAAGATTCCATCTTTTCTGTTTAGTGACGTTATATGATGGATGTGCGTCTCTGCTCTCTTCAGGGGTGTTTGTGGACAGTCTCACTCCGTCTCTGGATGCCTTTGGTCTGGACGGAGTTTTCAAGCTGAAAGAGAGGCAGCATGAAGGACTGAGCACTTTCTACCGCAGGTCAGGTCTGCCGGGTGTAGTTTAGTCTGATGTGATGGTTTTTAGGGTAGTTAGGATTTCATTTGGTCAAAGTGCACAGACATGATGTTTCTCTATAAGCGTGAATTCATGTCATGGTAGGGTTGAGTGTTGTACTTTGTACTTTGTATACATGCCTATATATGTCTGGTTATTTTATGCATACTACAGCTGTTTTAAATGCAGGTGAAGCATATACGTTAACTGTACAGGCTGTAATTTCCTTTGTCCGTAGGTTGCGATATCTATATTTGCAGGTGATTTGAAGATGAATGATAATGTCTGGTTGTTATATAATCTTAAATATTTAGATCTAGATAAAGGATTACGTCAGATAATTAAAACACGTTGTTGTTTTCAGGTCAAAGTTCCAGCTGCTGAGTCGTCACGACATCATGCTGAGCGAGGCGTTGACCTCTGACCCCATCCATTCTGAGCTGTTGGAAAAGGTTTCTGCAAACAGCGACCTGAAGGACAGAATAGTGCGGAGATCCACCTCGCTGCAAGTATGGACGATTTCCTGAGAATCATCTGGGAGACAAATCAGACCCGTTTTATTTTCTGTTTTGTGCCACAAACTATTTTCAATATTTACTGAAGTCAAACATCAAGGTTGTTAAAACTAAAAATCACTGATGGATTATGCATCTCACGCAGGTTTCGAATTTGTTCTTTTTGAAATGAACTGGAACAGATAACGTCTAACAAGATACAATCAAAGTACACAATCATTCATAAATACTCATGGACACGCTGCTGTCATATCTTCTGGTATCTGGGACTTTGGTGGAGTTACTGACCATAAAAACTAAAATGGCTGATTCATATATATTTACACAAAGTATCTAGGTGAACACCTTATTCAATATGAGAGGATTTCAGATTTTCAACCAGTATTGTATATATACCTTTAAGTGCAGAGAAGGTTTTTAAATGGAATTAACCTTTATATTATAATATATAACATTAACTTTAATCATAGAGAAGTTTACAGAAAACTATCAAAGATTGAAACATTTAAAATTAAGTTATGTACATTTTAAAACAGTGTTTGGTTTGTTTGTGGTTCATGGGCTAAATAATGTAGCATTTGGCGCAATGAAAATTTACAGACAAATCAAGAGCAACCAACAGGATTCAAACTAACGAATAAATAAGAGTAGTTGTGTTGATTTATTAAAATACGTTTCTCCATCCTCCTGTTCCTGCAGGTCAGTATACTGGAGGACCTGAAGACACCAGGCAGGAAGGTGTGTGTGGCCAACACTCACTTGTACTGGCACCCAAAAGGTAAAAGCTCATTCCTCTGTATGAACACACCTCAGTCACTGACATGAGAAAGAATTGTAATGATCAAAATGTACATGAGAACAAATGTCAATAAATAAATTCATTTCTTTTGAAGGAGGGAACGTTCGCTTGGTCCAGATGGGCGTCGCCCTCCGACACCTGAGTCGTGTGATCCGCGAGGTCGCTCCTGGAGCTCCTTTAGTCTTTTGTGGAGACTTCAACTCCTCCCCCACCTCAGGTAAATCCACACCCAAAGCTCCGGCCTCATTCAGTGTGGTCTTTTCACGTTCACTGCATCGGTGGACTTGTTTGTTCAGTAGAAACTTCCTCTTATTTTATCAGCTGCACACATCGTCTTTGTTTGTCTCCTCCTGCCGTGTCAGGTGTCTTCCAGCTGGTCACTGAGGCCGTGGTTCCTCAGCAGCACGCAGACTGGAGCAGCTCAGGTCAGGAGGAGTCCTGTAATATGGAGCTGCTCTCTGGTTTCCCCCCACTGCTGAGCGCCTGCGGCCAGCCGGCCTACACCAACTATGTGGGAGGATTTCACGGCTGCCTGGATTATATCTTCATACAACCTGACACTATGCAGGTACAACAGTGATTAAACACAGTAAAAGCTCACTGGAAATTAGTTGTTTTAGATCTTTGAACTAACTCAGTCGAGAACATACATCCACCACGGCTCAACCCCTCATGAACCCAAATTTAAATTCTCTAGATGAAGATTTTAATCTCAAATCTTTTATAATAAAATCTGTCCAGTAGTTTTTGTGTAATCCTCATAATTAACAAACCGCAGATGAAAACACAACATTCTTGGTAGAGATAAAAATGATTGCTCATGCATTTCTAATCAGGTTATGTTGTTTGTATAATTAACCAAGGAAGCTAACATGGTGTCCATGTGTGCATACGTGCAGGTGGAGCAGATGATTCCTTTGCCAAGTCACCAGGAGGTCACAACCCATAAGGCTCTGCCCAGTGTGGCACACCCATCTGACCACATCGCCCTCGTGTGTGACCTGCGCTGGAGCCCCTGACCTCTGACCTCTGACCTCCAATCACCTGGTTAAAGATGCTTGAGAACTGCAACTACATTCTGACTTCATTCTTAACTCTTGAATGAAGTCTGAACAAAGTAACGTGTTCCTACAGGTTAATGGAGATCAACAAAAAATCATGTCAGATTATTTAGTCATTAATATCAAGAACAATTTATCATCACTGATATTCAGTGTTGGATCTGTCACTTTATAAAAGTTATTAATTCATTCATTTTGCTCGTTTGTTCTCTCAGAAGTGATCAGTTTGACTGGTACACATCATATCAGCAGTAGAAGTGTTGGGACTGGTTCTTCTTAAACAACCATTATAACAGATTTTAGACCACATGTAAACTCATGAGATTCAATATAAGTATTTATTATTTTTAATATGGTCAAAGAAGTTGCTTGAATTGTTAAATAAATTTGAGTCTACTGAAACGTCCATGGATGAATTATTTTCTGTCTTCACATTAAACACAAACACCTTTTTTTTTTTAATCATTATTATCTCTTTTAGGTCAATTTAAAAGCACCTCTCTCCAGACAAAATATTCTTATATTGATCACATCTTATAATCTGATAATTTTGTGGAAATTCAGGGGAGAAAAATATGTAGTGTTAGACATTGCAAAAATAAAAATACAGGATTATAATCAGTTTTTGTGATCATTTCAAAATTGCAATCATTTTAACTAAAATGCTTTACACTCAGTGCATATTAGATTTAAAGATTCTTCACACACTTTCCTCACATGTCATCACCACTGTCACCACGAGCTCAAACGTACAGCCACAGAAGCAGAACATTTCGTCTGTCTTACTTTCAACTAGTTTGACTCTATGCTCTCCTTCTCACTAGTTTTCATGCACTCTCAATCAGAGCACTTGTCATTACAGTGGCTCTAATCAGTGTTTTACAAGAGCTTCTCAGATAATAATGTGAAAACACTGTGACTGTGCGCATGAAGTCCTTCGTGCCCATGAACCTACTGAGAATTATCACCCGAATCTCCTTTTGTAGGGGATTGTCTTCAGGGACGTGATGAGCAGAGTCCTGTGGGTCAGAACCACGAGCCCTGATTTTAGTGTGGGGGTGGCATGAGGGGGCAGAAGTCTTTGCTTCCTGTGCTGGTCAGTGTGTGTAGTGTGTATGTTACTAATTATAATAATAGTGTTTACAACAAACACTCATAATGTTGAGTTTTTTTCCGATGAATGCACTTTTCTATGAAGTCCATATTACTATATCATAATATATGTAATTATAAATGAATGAACTTCCTCACTGTAAATTCATTGATGAACAACTTCCGCCTTCCTCCGCCACGCTGTTTTTCTCTGATTGGTCAGAAGTGTTGAGGAGGCGGTACCAAATGTCTAGATAAAGGTTTACGTCATAGATGCGACAGCCCTGAACTTTCCGTCAATTTTTAATTAATATCAATTAATAAAGAAATCTTTATAGACGCTGTTTCTCTTTGACTCGACCATAATTACCATGTTTTGATTAAAGCTCCGGCGAATTTCAACATCCGCGAGTCGTCGCAAACCGGAAACCTCGGGATTGACAGCCAGAATAAAAGCATGAAAACGTTTTTAATGTATTGGAAGGGAACTCAAAGTTTGGATGTATCACAGACTTTTAACTGAAATTATGTGATGAAAATAACATTTGTTGGGTTGACAAGTGATTACGGGGCCAGTTACTTTAAATGAGAGAGGTTGAGTTTACAATAAAGCAATTAAATTATTTTTATGAATGATTGTAAGGTATATTTACTCATTAATTTTGTTGAGTGTCTTTATCATGATGATGATGATGATGATGATGATGATCAGGTTATATTTCATCTGGACCCTGAGTCTGATATTAGTCCAGTCAAACTTTACTTAAGTAGCTCAATGCCACAACTCCAACATTTGCCTCAGTGGGAGTCATCTTATGACACTTATGTCATCCAATGACACCTTCTGTGCAAATAAATATAAATTATGAAGACGAACAGAGGAGAGATTTATCTCTCAGGTCAGATCACGGGACAGACGCGTGACAGCGCAAGTGTTATTCTGAAAGTGTGCACCGGATGTTGTGTATGTGTCCCGCCCTGACGTCAGCTGGTGTTTAAACGATCCTACGTGTCATTCGTGGAGTTTCAGTGATTCTCAAACCTCCTGGACTCGACCGAAGACCTGATCCCGGTGAGTTCTCTCTGCTGTCACTCAGCTTTCACTCACACGGAGAAGCTAACTGCGGCTAACAGCTGCAGCTCACAGGCGCTCTGCTGTCGGCTGCTGTAAAATGAACCCTGTTAGCATCTTAGCTAACGTGAGCTAGCCACAATCACTGTTGAGTTGAGAAAACCGAAACACGAGCTCGGTCTGTGTTTATGTCTGCGAACTGTTCTCACGTGTTCTGACCGAAGCCGACGCCACTCTGTGCCAGCTGCAGCTCTGTTAGCGTGTTGCTAACACCAGTTAGCTGCTGCTGTCCTCATGAAACGATGACCTGCTTCGGTCTGTCGCTCTGTGTCTGTGCTGCTTTCATCAGCTGTGTGTTATTGTGTATGACCTGTACAAAAACCACTACAGACATGACACGAGTACTCAGTAGCCATTAGTTCACTTTAACATGTGTACTCAGTTGTCACTATTGATATCATGAGTACTCAGTCAGTACTTAGTAGCACTATATCACTATTACACGAGTACTCAGTAGTCATTACTATATTATTACGTAGTGACAATGAAGTCATTATCACAGAAGTACTCAGTCCTCATAGCTACATGATTACACGAGTACTCAGTGGTCATTACGATATAATATCACAAGTACTCTGTACTCACTACTACATTAGTACATGGGTATTCGACAGTCATTACCACATAATTTACCTTTAGTACATGATAGTAGTTACCACATTATCTAATGAGTACTCAGCAGTCATTGCTTATTATCTTATTTATCTGTTGTGTCTTCTGCTGTTGTTTGCTGGGGGGGGGGGGCAGGAAGAGACTGGACAGGTTGGTTGAGCTCAGTTGTGCGCTGCCCTCTGGATTGGACTGAGGAGGTGAGTGAGAGGAGGATGCTTGTCAAACTGTTGCCCATCTTGGACAACTCCTCTCACCGCCTCCCTGACACGGTGGGAGCTCTGAGCAGCTCGTTTAGCAGTACACTGCTGCTCCCGCCGTGTAGGACAGAACGTTTCTGTAGGTCCTTCCTACCCTGAGTCATCAAACTGTACAATAACCAGCTGTAACATTCATTTACACTCTGTGATGTAACCTTTCAACCTCACTTATGGTTTTACAGCATCTGCCTTTTTCTGAGCACTTAATGTACAATACTTGTCTCATAAATCACAGTTTGAAATCTAATCTCTCAGTGCAATAAGTTTGTCTCTACCTTATATATCACAAGTGCAATTCCTCTATTTACATGTATATAGCTTAGTTTCTGTCTGATGTTTATGATTTTATATTTTTATTTTATTTCCATTTCATTTTTTTCTACATATATGTACTTCATGCAACTGCAATAAGGAAATTTCCCCTCTGTGGGAATACATAGTCTGAATCTGAATTAAACAAGCTCTTAGTAGTCATTACTACCTTTCATGAGTACTCACGGATCAGACTACACCTGCCTTGGACTTAATTTTGAGCTCAACCACACATCTTTAAATAGTCTCCTGATCAGTCAGGGTGAATGTATGAGCGAGACTTAAGATGATGAGTGTTGATGTTCTTTCATCACGAATATCTGGCTGTGAGTATTGACTCTTATGTGATGGAACATGTTACACCGGTCTCCTGCAGGTTAAACTGGACTAACAAACCACTCCTCTCTGAGAGCCTCGCCATACTGCAACAAAGGAGGCTACAAATAACCCATAATGCACCACTGTAAAAGACTAGTTTTAATGCCACTCATTCCAATCGTCTGAAATATTCGATGGGTTACAACATGGCCTTATGTTAAGGCCAATGTAGTGTCTAATTTAATTATCTTTTTATATTTAGGAGTTTTACATTTTTGATACAAGATAGTTTTATCCAAGAAATAAGTGATTTAATTTGTCAAAGCTATAAACTAAAGTGTAATGAATCTGGCAGGTGATCCAACAAACCTTACTTTGATCAGTACATTTAGTTTGGATACATCAGTGACTCTCCTCTCTCCTGTACAGGCTGGTTCTCTCCTTGATGAGCTGCAGTTACCCTGGTTAACAGTTGCTAACTTGCCAAAAGCATGAAGGCCTTGATCCTAGTGGGGGGGTACGGGACCCGGCTGCGACCGCTCACCCTGAGCGTCCCTAAACCGCTGGTTGACTTCTGCAACAAACCCATCCTGATGCACCAGGTGGAGGCGCTGGTCAAGGTACAGAGGAGACGCCCAGGGGGATTTATCTTATCTGTCCATGTGTCATCTTGTGCAAGTGAAAGTAATTTGTGTGTGTGTGTGTGTG